TTTGATCAAACGAGCAGTTCTGCACCACTACCAATAGTCTGGGGTTTTAGATCAAAACTAGCATCTCAGTACCTGGAAGTCAAGTCAGCTCGAGTAAATCACAACAGGCCAGTTTCGTGTGTGCACAGAGCAGTTAGACCTTTTTTTGCAGCAGGAAAAAAAAATCCTCTATTTAAATCATGCCTGATGTACCACATTTTCCCCCAGCACACCTGGGCTGGGCGTACAGCCACACTGTCACCCTGGCTGTCCTCCCTACACCCTTGGTGGCATTTCTGGAACCATGTACACCTCTTAAGATTTTGTGTCCCCTGGAGAGAGACCAGGTTTTGCTTGCACACTGTGATACCCTCAGGAGAACTTTTCCCTGGTTTTCCGTGCTTGTCATTACTTTTTTCCTTGAAGTTTATAAAAACGAAAGCCTTTGGACTGAACGAGGGCGAAGGCGGGATGAATAACCCTCCTGCTTCAAACCAAGGAGAAAAACCTTAAAACCCGAACTGCACGAACACAACATGTCTCCTCCCGCTGCATTAACGCCGCCTCACGAAATGGCGCCTGCCTCTGCAGACAGCTGCCTCAAAACGCCCACGGCTCCTCGGGAAAACAGAAATAAAACTTCTGTTTGTTTGGCTTTTTCCCCGCAAAGCTTTTATTTTTCTCTCTTCACATTCGGTATCTCCCGAGAGCCCTCTGCAAAGCCGAAACGTGGCGGGGAGAGTTCTCCTTCACAAAATGAATCACTTCTCCTTTCCCCTGGGCTTCGGGAGCCCCCCCGGGACTGCTCCCCACGCGGCCGTGGGGCTGTGGGCTCCAGCCCCTGCACACTGCAAAATAAATGTGCCGATTCAGCCGCTATCGCCACGATCTTGCCTTTCCAGAATTTTCTCCCTCCGCTTCCCAAATATAAAAGGAGTTTTTGTGCTGAACACGGTGACGGGCCCGGCGCTGGGCGCCATGTGGTATTTGGTTTCTCTACAGTACATGTTTTTATAATGAAGGGGGAAGGGAAGGAAGGGAGCTGCTCCTACCAGCATGCCAATAATCTGTTGCAAAAGGGCTGGAGCGCTCAGAGCCAATTAGTGCTCCAGTTAACCATTTAACTGCGGAAACAAAGCCGGGCCGAGCGATTCCAGGCAGAAAAGACGGTGTGGGCTCCCAGGGCATCGCGTTCGTACAGATTTTTTTCATAGATGCGTTTTTTTCCCTATAATACTTTCGATAGACAAACTGGCCACTGAAACTCCCTTAGATCACAGTATGCAAAGGTGGGACAGCTGTATCCTGCACACGTACACCACAATTTTAAGAGAAGCTGGATGAGTTTCAGGATCAGTGCTGGCCTGTGATGGAACGATAAAAGCCACTCACAGCAGGTGCATTTCTGATACAGATATCAGGTCCATGCAGATATCAAATCCATGCTGTCCATGGCGGGCTGGGAAGGGTCAGAGTTCTGTTCTGCCAGAGAATGTGTCACTGCAACATCTCCCAGCGGTGCTGCTGGGGGTGGAAAAACACCCTCAGATAGGACAAAATCTAGGAAAGCAATGGCAGATTCTGTCACCCTCTAAATTTGATGTCTCCATCATCCAGACAGCACTACCCTGCACCACTCTTGTTTTTTCAACTCCTTAACCGCATCAGAAAAAGACCTCCCCCCAAAAAAAGTTATTTTTATATTCTGCAGTGTAATAATTTATTATAAACCTTTAAAGCCTGAGGCCAGGCAGCTCGTGGCTTGTTGTGTGCCACTGAACAAGCCAGGGAAGAAGACGCACAGGGAATTCTCAGCCTCTATCTTTTTCTCTGGGGACAAGTCTGAGCATTGCCAGAGAGCGCAGACAAATTAGTCCTAATGCACAGCAACAGTAACCTGCTCCTGCTTGACCCAGCGGGTCAGTAAACCTATTTTTGTCCTCCTTTTTTATCCCATGACGTACCAGCGAATATTGGATCAGACTCCCAGGGATGACAGGAGGACCAGCAGAGTTTGTAGAGCTCAGTGAAGTGCCCAGGGTGCCAAAAGCAGGCTCTGCACCCCAGCTCAGCAGCCCTGGCAAGAAGCAAACTTTACATGCTTGGGCGGGTCTGCAGCAGTGCTGCAGGTCTGCTCCCACCCCAAGCAAGCTCTGCAGTGCACATGAAAGGCATATTCAAACATCACTACCTTCCCTAAAAGATGAAGTCAAATTTCCCTAGTCGCCATGGAGAAAGTCCAGTGCCTGTGAAAGTTGCAGGTTGCCCCGTCTGAAGTGCTGTACTGAGGCTGACACTGTAACACATCTCACTTTTAAGCTCTAGGAAGGATCCTGACAAAAATATAACTTCACATTCAAATTAAAAACACTGGGGACCAGAGGGAGGAAACATATGGGTAAGAAACTAGCAGATTATTTAGGCATGTGAGCTGTCAGAGCACAGGCAATACAAAAGCTCCCTTGTTCCTGCTGCCTCCCACAGCTGCATTCACTAAATATATCCTGGGCTGAGAGCTGCATTTCTCCACCCCCTCCTCAGCCCAATCGCGTTTTCACAAACACCACCCAGGCCCCTTGGGACAGGCAGTGAGGCAGTAGCGATGCCCTAGTTACAGACAGCATAAACGACACGAGTGACTAGTCATGCCTGCAACGGGGTGAAATTGTTACATCCACACCTATTTTGGAGAGGGAGTCCATGTAGCTGATCCATATTTAACTTAAACCCAGGGTTGTTTGTCCTCTATGAGGATCCACCGCATTTGTGTGACAGAATCAATTACTGGAACTTATTCCCATCAGATGATTTTCAATAGTTTATGGGGGGGAAAAAAGGCAGAAGAATAGCCACCTCCATTAAAAAAGAATTCACTGAATCCATCTCCTGGCAGATATGGAAGAGAGCAGTGGTCTTGGGGATTGGCTGTCCCCCAGAGAGTTGTACTCAGTTTTACCTTCCATCAAATCTCTGTGGTGCATTGACTGATCATACATATATTTGGGGAAGGGAAGAAAAGATGTATCTGAATTTCCATAGGACTGAGGTGCTCCCCCCTCCCGATCTCCATTTGGCTCTTCGCATTTCTCCCATCCTCACTTTGCATCCTTTACCCTCACGGACACACCCTTTGGTCCCACACAACAAAACCTTGGTCCCAACTTGCAGCCTTGAGACACTGAGCAGTCACAGCAAAAGAGAGAAAAGCTGCCCCTTCTCATACAGCGAATTCTATAGTAGATCAAATTGTTGCAGGGAAAAAAAAAAGTAATCTTCGTGTCTTTCCTCACTTCCAAGCTGTGAACCAGCAGGGATTTTGACCCTCCTGGTCTCTGCATCTTCCTTTCCTCACAGTTCCCCGTTTCTTCAACACCTCCAGTTCCACTAGCAGTGAAGCAAATTTGACAGAATCTGGTCAATTTTTCAAGCTTTCTCATTTTAAGAAGTCAGTGGGAGCGCACTATCTTGCAATCAAACCTCACAGGAGGGAGAATTAAATATCTCATGCATGACCTTAATCCGTAGGATTTTGCAGATCGTTTCTCTTGTAATCTCAATACCCAGTGCTTATTACGCATTCAAAACGTATCTGTAGCCCCGGAACATTTTGCGACAAAAGGAACTCAAATTCATTTTGATACAATTATGCAAGTAACACCAGTCACATGCTTGCTGTGGAATAAATATAAATACTGGGCTTTTGGGAATAACTGGCAGATTTACAGTGTAAAAATAAAAAGGCAAAAAAAAAGCTTAAAAAAAAAACAACTCAAGAATGAAACCATCTATTAAATATGGAAAAAAAAAAACAGGTTTAGATGTCAAATTGCAGTCGAGGAAAATGGCACAATTATGTATGAAATCTTTTATAATTTTTTTTTTCAATCTGCAAAACATAAAAGAACTGAACTGATACTTAAGCATCTTCATAAAGCGAGAACTTAAATTTCTAAAGTAGGAATATCATTTAAGGCATTTAAAAACCTTTGAAATCAGATAATTCATTCACAAAATGGCCACAGGTCCCTAAGCTTAAATCGCTGAAAGCTAGAAAAGTTAGAAAACTGTGCTCTGGGTTTTGTGTCTTTCTAGCACATTTTTTTCTTTCTCTACTTTTCTTGCCTTCCTGAAACAAAATGACCTCAAAGGCTGCTCTAATTTTGTCGTTGGAAATTGCCTGTTTTAATTAGGGATGCTGCTGTTCAAGAGGCACACCCCGCTGCACTGGTGGTGCTGGAAACCAGCCTCGCTCCTGGGGACCGGCTCGGGGTTTGCCTGCCCTGATCTCCTGAGATCTTCAGTATCCTCGGGATTTTGGACCACACGTGGGAAGATGTAGTCCCATCCCTGTGCTTTTAAGAAGGGAATACAAAATGTGAAACCAGATGTTAAACCTGAGCCCCAGAGAAGCCACAGGAGCGTGAGTTACCTTCAACAGCAGTGCAGCTCTAGAAGCAAACAAAGGCATAAGGGGTTGGAATGGAAGGTTTCATTCCTCCAAGAAGGCGGTGACTCACCCACATTCCTAACTGCACAAACAAGGAAAAAGCCCTCCTGTGGCTCTTGGGATCCTCCTCATTTTCCTGTGTGGAGCACATCCCAAGGAAAGGCGGCTGGGGTGGCATGTTGTAGCAGAAACAGCACAGGACAAATATATTTTGGAAAGGGACCCTCTTTTGCACACCTCTCTGTTTATGTGCCTTCTTGAAAAAATAAAGAGTTCCCAAGTACTGCTTTTCACTTCTGAAAACACATTGAAAAGGAAAAGGGCTACTACTAACAATCAGTTTTTAAGAGCCAAACCCATCTTTTCTCAGATACTTTTTTTTTACTACTAAGAGGCAGTAGTTTACTTTTTAAAAATACAAAAAAACAAACAAAAACCAATCCAAGGACATATAAACCAAGTGAAAAAGTTCACTGAGTGGAGAGCCATGTGGCGTGTCACATGGATAAGGTGCTGTTTCTAACCATCGAGTTACCCATATGGGAAAATTTGACCTAAAGATCTGGAAACTCACCCTCCCAAACGTCTGCTCAGTCGTTCCCATCAGACAAGGCACACTTAGATGGAGGACAGGTATATTCCAGGTGATGGATGGCATGTAGCCAAGCTGCTAAACATGCCCTGCTCCACCCTTCCTGCATGGCTGTCCCGTAGGTGGGGAACGCTGTGCAGGTCCCCAGATGGTCGGGGCATCAACCGAGCTGCTGGGTGGTAGCAACAGAGCCCTCAGCAGCAGGGATGAGGAGGAAGTGGTGGAAAGGCTGGGTGTGAGGAAACAGGACCAAAAAGGAGCCCAAAAAGCAGAGAACGTTGCTAATTTGCGAGAGAAACTGCAGGAAACCAACATTTCTTAACTGTAAACCTCAGAGAGGTTGTGGTTAGGAGACACAGGTGTCGGGTGACAGGACTGCAGGGCGGGCTGTGCCTGTGCCCAGGAGAGATGCCTCACAGCCACGATCCAAGTGGAGCTCCCCAAGGAGTGGGGCTGGGTAGGTGGTCCCCCGTGTAGCTGTGCCAGGGCTCTGTTGGATGAGGTTTGCTCATCTGTGCAATGCAGGATGCCAGAATGCCAGCACAAAATTCCCCTTTGGCTGCATCCTCCATGAAGCAAAATTAAGGCTGATGCTCAGTGTGTTCCACTGTATACCAAATTTTTCAATTCTCACGTTTCCAGTGGTAGACAGACACCCCAAAGTCATCTTCATTCATTTCTCCTGGGGAGCAGCTCCTCAGGGTTCCTGGAGCTGCTGCAGAAGGGAAGTGGCAGCATTCCTAAGTGGGGGGGCGTGAGGAGTGGCACACTTGTTTGTGTGACAGCTACCAGTGTAGTTTGTCTGCTGATGCTGGGAGAGACCTTGGTACCACGGGCTGCTAGCAGACACAGAGAATGCTTGTTAACGACAAGTATCAAGCCTCAAACAGATAAAATAAGCTATGCTGGAGCTGAAGCCATGCTCAAGAAGTCATGGAAATGCCTGTTGTGCTGATGCTGCTGCCATACTTAAAGCTAAGCCCCAGCAAGTAGGAACAGCACACAGACCTGCTCCTCCTGCTGCTGCAGGTTCTGCTGGCGGCATTTGAAGTATTTTAGGTATTTCAGACTACTCTCCTGTCAGGACTCCAGAGCTTACATTAAAAAAAAACAAACTGCTTATCAACTTGTAGTACAACAGCGATCCGTCTGGTTTATTAGATGGAAAGTACAAGAGCGGGGAAGGATTTTGCTGACAGTATTTCTACCTCGATTAAGTGACTGTTATGATCAGAGCAACAGCAAACAAACATCAGAGGTCATTACAAGACATTTCCTTGCGCAAAGGAAGAGAAACCGCCACAAGACATGGACTCCACGCATATTATTATTATTATTATTATTACTATTACTACTGAGCATTTTGGCTGGCTCGTGCTGCTTGGAAAGCCCAGTTCTGCCGGGCTGCTTGAGAAAAGCAGCATTTGTCCCCAGCTTTCGGCATGAAAACACAGCTCAAATCCCTTCTCGGGAACAAAGGTGCTTCCCAGGAGCCTGGCGTGCTGCCGGCATGCCGAGCGCGTAGCCAGGCAACGACAGCCGGATTGGGGCTTGCGCCTCACCCGCGATGCTCCAGCCTCCACAAACAATTCCTGCCACGTAGACAGGACCGTGCAGGGTAATGGAAAATTACTGCAGGCTTTTTCTTAAAGGGCGAGCACCGCCGCTGGCGGAGAAGGCTGATCCGCATCCCGCTTCGCAGCGCGCCCCAGGGTCAGCCTGTGTTCCCTGCGAGGAGCCTGCATTGCGTCACCGCTCGCCGGGCCATTAATACAATGAAATACCATTTGCATGCGATTCCAGCCGGCTTAGGGGATCAGGGACGTAAAGCAGCGAGCTGAGCTGCGAGGGAAGCGGGGAGCAGAGCAGCCGGAGATGAACAACCGAGCGCTGCCGTTCTCGGCTCGAACACGGCAGCCTTAGCGCAGTTCGTACGGGCTGCGGGCTGATGCCAAAATAACCCTCCTGCGCTTGGCAGCCGCAGTGTTTTAACAACTGCCCGGCACATTCCTGCAAGGCTGCAGGAAGAAAAAAAAAATCCCTTAAAGAAAGAGCAAACTTTGGCAGTGGTTAAGCTGTTATCAGGACAACAGCAATTAAACAAAACAAAACAAAAAAAAAATATGGCCATGTTTACCTCAATTTCTGATGTAAAAGAGAATTTAGTTAATAGGCAGCATGGTGCTTACCTAGCTTTTAATACCAAGCCAAAAACCACGCAAATAGCTACAGAAGGACCAATCAGCCAGTTTGAGCCACTGCACCTCTGAAAATCAGAGATATGCAGACTTACTGGTTGGGCGGGGCAGGATCTGCCCCCGGAGCACACAGCAGTTGCCCAAAGACGGCACAGCACCAAACAGTGCTCTTCCCAATCTTCCAAAGTGGCTCCCATCTCCCTTACAAGTTTCATTTCGTCTCCTGCAGGAGCAGACCACACTGCCTGTTCTTGGGGTACTTATGGGGAACTGTGTCTAGCCTGCAGCAAAAAGAGAAACGCAGAACTGCTGCTCTTGCTTTTACCTCTTTGTTCAGGAGCATGCAGCTCCTGGTGGCCCTGGTGTGGCTCAGGATCACAGATATTGCATGCCAGATTGGTTCTAGGTCACCTCCTGCAACAACAGTGCTTTTGTTCTTCCCTATCTTCATGTATTAACTCACCTGTTTTTTCTCAGATAAGCACTGTTTAAAGCCTCAGCTCAAATCTTTTTTCACTTTGTTGTAGCCAGCAAATGAAAACAAAGCCCCTGCACCAAGTTAAGGGACTACTTTGTAATAGAAACTTCCTCTCCCTTAAATAGAAACCTTTGTTGTGAAGCTTTTCATTGCAAGCTCCACAGGGAAGGTCATTATATTTAATAGAGGTTGACCTCATTTTGTAGTCCTCAATATTAAACCTTATAAGAGGGAAACGTAATTAGAAGCGGTGAGTTCTCAACAAAGATACACAGTACTTGTTGCTGTTTCCTTCTTACCTACGGTTTAATTTAATATGGTTCAGAAAGAGTAACTTGAAACAGCTTTTGGTAGATAAGTGAACTCAAAGTAAAATGCAAAGATCTGGTTTCCAAGAAGCTTTTTACAAGCTGTACAGAGAAGTGAAATAAAACCCTTCAGCAGCACACAAGGCTTCCTGCAGAGCCTCCCTGGAATAGCTGCAAACCTGCATTTCGGTGAAAGCTAATCTTGGTTGGAGGCTCGGGTTACATAAAGACATCTTGCATAGATGCATAGAGGACTCGTGGTCAGGCATGGACCTGCCCGTGTGGCAGCCTCTGCTTGGCTGGAGGGAATTGAGGGAATTTTCTGCTGCATTTCCAAGGCTGTGCTCTGAGACAAAGAAAGCAAAAGGGGTTTTGGCTCAGTCAACATAGACAAGGGAGGGAATGCAAAGATGCCCCAGCTTTGTTAGGTTTGCTAATGCAACCTGGGTTTCCACACAGTGGACACTGTTGTCACAGCATAATGGGTAAACACAGCATTGGCCACCACTAAATAAACACATTTTCCACAGAAAGGGAGGGCACGGCAGTGAACGTGCTGCACCGTGCCAGGGCCTTGCTGTACACACCCCTTTGTTGGGGCTCTTCACCTTAACGTGGTTTGAGTTTAAAAGATCTCTTCACAGCCTGCTTTTCAAGTAACCCCATCACTTTTCCAGACTATAGAAGTGTGCTTGAAATACAGATTTTCAATTCATTTTCCCAGCTCTTGTGATAGCCCCACTGCTCTCCCACCTCCTGAACATCCCTTGCATTCCCAGTGCTCTGAGTCCTGCTGGCAAGTGTCACCCCCCTGCCGAAACACTCGTTATGTAAAAAGAAAAATTTCTTGTTGAAAGGCCCAGGCTCCCTTAAATTTCCCTTTAGATTCTGTGGTTTGAGTGAGTGTTTCTGCTTCAGCAACCCTGAGAACTTCCTGATTTCTGCACAGTTCTCCCCTCTGCAAACAGCTGACTGCTTTAAACTCAGTTTTGGACTTGCTTTCCCAAAAAATAAGATAAATGGTGGTGTTCCCAGCTGAAGCACTTTCACATGGTTTAAACAGCAGCTTCTTTTCTGTAGCCCAGCTCTCCTGGGTCTGTGCTGTGTGGAGCAGGGTGGTTGCTGCCCACACCTGCAGTGGGCTTGCTATGCCCTGTGGTTTGTGACACAATATGCGTTCCAACAGGAGGAAAGAGAAAGGCAGCTCCTCCAAAAACATCACAAGAAACTCCCCAAAGCCCACAGCATGGTGGCTTAAAGTACTCAGCCTTTTGTTTCTCCTCCCTGGGAACAGATTTCCACTCCACACAAGCAAAAGGGATCACAGTCATGAAAAATATGTGAGGAAGCCAAGAGTGGGACCAGAGCAGCCTGGGACAGTCCTGGGTGGGTGGGCAGTATGGCTGGGAGAACATTTGGTGGCCAGCAGCTCTCCTTGGGGACAGAAGGACATGGCATAGATAAGACACCTTTACCCTCCCAACAGTACTTGGCCTCCACCCTCAACAAGGCCAGGGTTATTCCTGCTTAGCTGGTTTTTCCTCCCTCCTATTTTAGATGTAGAGTGTTATTAAATCACACCCAACAATTCTCACCACACCTCAAGCAATTAACCCTATCCCATGGCAGCGCTGGCTGGGGAAGCCCTGGACAGTGTCCTGGGACTCCCATAAAGCTGAGAGCAATTTTGCCACCCGTTCAGTGTGAGGAAGGTTGGGCTTTCTGCGTTTATTTTTGGAGCAGTAACTTCTTTTCAAAGAGCCTTTCTGTCAGGCTTCGCTGTGTATGAGCTGCCGAGTGAGCTCCTCCAGCTCTGTGGGCACCATTAGCAGGGCTGCCCTGTGCTGAAGTGATGTCAGCACTTCCATTACAGCACATTTCCCCTTCTCCAGCCCCCTTATAAGTGGAACATAAAAATCCGGTTCTGGCAGAAACACTGGAGCCAGCAAGGAAAACAGTTACCACTTTAACCTGATCCTTGCTAAATGTATCTGGCTGGGCGGAGAATACAGGGATTTAAAATATATTTTCTCCCTCCCACGCCTAAATCATGAATTTTAAAATCCAGCTGTATTGCACTCAAATTACTCACGGGGAATTTTTTTTAGGTTGGTTTCTTTTTTTTCATAACTTACCCATGGTAAATGGAGAAGTGATCCTTT